GCGTCCAGATTTTAGATTAAAGTTTTTGGTGCAGTAAAATATTTTTCACTATAACTTTGTCATTTCTTAAGGTATCAACTTCAAACTTCAAATATATGTTCCTTATCATCAACCACATCTTATGTGACAAGGTTCATAACTCTAGCACCAATATTTTCAGATTTATCTCCCCTTGAACTTAGAATTTTCCTTAAAAAATACTATTTTTTACTGTTACTTCTTTATTTCTTAAGGGATCAACCCCATACTTCAAATATATGTACCTTATCATCATCCCCATCTTATGTGACAAGGTTCATAACTCTAGCACCAATATTTTCAAATTTATCTCCCCTTGAACTTAGAATTTTCCTCAAAAAATACTATTTCTTACTGTTTCTTCTTTATTTCTTAAGGGATCAACCTCATACTTCAAATATATTTACGTTATCATCATCCCCATTCTTATGTGACAAGGTTCATAACTCTAGCACCAATATTTTTAGATTTAGCTCCTTTGAACTTAGAATTTTCCATAAAAAAATATTATTTTTTACTGTTGCTTATTTATTTTTAAAGGGATCAACTTCATACTTCAAATATATTTACGTTATCACCATCCACATCTTATGTGACAAGGTTCATAACTCTAGCACCAATATTGCAAAATTATCTCTCCATAAACTTAGATTTTTTTACTAGAAAAATGTTATTTTTTATTGTAACTTTTTTATTTTTAAAGGTATCTACCTCAAACTTCAAATACTTATTCCTTATCATCAATTACATTTTATGTGACAATGTTCATAACTCTTGAAGCAATATTTACAGATTTATCTGTCTTTGAACTTAGGATTTTCTTTAAGAAATATAATAACTTCTTTACTTTTTAAGGTATCTACTTCAAACTTCAAATATATATTTCTTATCATTACACATATGTTGTGTGACAAGGTCCATAACTCTAGGATGACTATTTCTAGAATTATTCCCCTTGATCTTGGAATTAATGTTAACAAATGTTATTTTTTTTCTATAACTTAATACATAATTATACATAATGGATTTTTCTTTCATAGTTTTGTCCTCCTTACTGCGTCCAGTATTTTATTAGTCGAGCTTCGCTGTCTCCTGTGACAGCTCTTGTTTGACTTAGAATTTACATTAAAGTTTTTGTAATACCTCAAATATTTTCAAAGTCCATTGACATATGGCTTTGAAACTTTGCACACTTGTTCACCATCATGACCCCAACTTGTAGACAGGAGGAGGTAACTCTATCAAGCATTTTGACAGAATTATGTCCCTTTTTCGACTTAGAATTTACGTAAAAGTTTTTGTAATACCTCAAATATTTTCAAAGTTCATTCACATTATAAAGGCTTCGAAACATGTTGAAATTTTATACTCTTCTTTGAGAGCATAATAGGACTCTCTCCAAGGCCTATAACTGTAATATGGATATAAAGAAAAAATTTGCCTTTTTCTGTACTTAGAAAATTTTACCTTTTAATCAAGGCTTTTTTACTTTCAAGCACTAAGAAAAGTCGAGCGTTGCTGTCCTACCGACAGCTCTTGTTCTTACATCCATTCCATATAAATGTATACTGAAATACTGTTTATTTTCTGGTGTGGGATGGGACAGATGTCTTTTAAGCATACAGATCTGATTGAATTTTTTAAAAAGAGACAATAAACATAATGCATGAACAGTAAAATGAAGGTACACAAAGAAATTTTGCTGTCATTCTAGGTGCGCAAAGTGGAGTATGTTGACAAAATGGAAGAAGAGTGGGAATTATTCCAGAAATCCATGAAGGAAGAGACACATGTAAGAATTCAACTTATAGAATGTGTTACACTTTGTTAATATATAAAAGTTTAAATCCTATTGGAGACCTTGTATTGTTTCAAAATGAGAATGCTATCCAGCTACCTAGCAATAGATTGATGGTGGTATTTAGATGTACCATGCTGAAATAATATACAGATTGTTACAGTTGCCCCTAACAAATGCACGGAGAGTGAATAATTATAAACTTATAACAATGCCATTGTTATTTTAAACCTAACTGAAAAAGAGAATGTATTGAATTAACTTCTTTAGTTTCTGAATGAGCTGGGGCTTTATGACCAAATGCATTTATAAGATTATTCATGTCATTAATTACCGTGGGTTTGGATTTTAGCAAGATGTTAGTATCTATCATGTGAGTACAATGTGTTCTATTAAGCATGCCTATAGGAGGTTACTAGGTATGTCTTGATGTATGTTCTTTCAAGGTTTTCATTATTAATAAATTGGCAATGCATATCATTGGTTGAAATGCTGTTAAAATCGTTGAATTTCCAGCTTGTAGATATCCCCCTTGACCGTTGGCCAAATCAGTTGTTTTCATTTGCACATCTGTTGCCTCAGATAAAAAAGAAAAACCTGCTTGCTCAGACAATGCACAGACAAAAGTCTAAAGTCTTCCATCAATAGCTTTATGATATGACGGTTACTGATATTGTGATATTTCATATATGTTGCTAACCCATCAGGAAATTTTTTAAGCAAGAAAATCATAGTATGTCACAAAGTTGAATATTGGTTAAATAATCAAAGATGGGTTATTTCTTTAAAGTTTTTTTGGTTAACATAATTTAGCTCATATGTTGCCAAAACAGGAAAAATGATTTTGGATAACTTGGGGTGTTACAAACTTAAAGCAACACAAGGTTTCAAAACCACCTCACCTGTTGGAGCTGAGAGATGCATGGACTCAAGTAATTCAAACCCTTTCAGTAGCCTCTTACCATCACACAGAGTGGTGGCTGCAATGCTATTAGAGGTCACAAGGGGGATTTTATTATTGTATTTTTAACAATTTTAGGTTTCTGAAGCCATTGTAGATGAGGAAGATGAGCAAGTTAATGTTGATAGAAATATTGATGAAATAGATGAACAAATGTGAGTACTTACATTATAATTATTATAAGAGTTGACCTTTAGTCTGTATAATTATGTTTTTACAGAGCCTAAAGGTCAATTATGCTTCAGAAACGATTTTTATTTCTCAAAAACTTTATATTTTTGGTGTCATTATATAGTTTCAAAAAAATTACTATTTGCAAATTATGCTTCTAGTTTATTTATTAAGTACTTTGTATGGAAGTCAAAATATCATATGTTTACAGTTGGTAGCTTTTGTGGCAAGTAATTTTATAATCAGCACTCTTTTCTTCAGGGGAGAAGCATGCAACATGGTCTTGACCAATTATTTAAACATTATAAAACTCATGTCTGCTCTCTTGAAAGATAGAAAAACTTATTTGTTTCTGAAGCATAATTTGTCTTTAATATTTTAGGTAATAAATTGGCAGGTTATTCAACCCTACTTTAAAGATCATAGTGATATATTATTGTGTGATCTTTCTGTTCATGTTTCCTTTTATAGTGAAGGAACTTTTTTTACTTAAAAATAGAGAGTAATGCATCTTTTTTTGTGCATAAACACCTAAAAACACTTGGGACACATTAAAAGTGTGAGCCCCTAGGGCAAGTGATTAAAAACGCTGAAAGATTTTGCAGATGATAATGCATGAAAATAAATGCATAAGCGCTATTCTTGCATAAAAGTATATGTCTTAATCCCGAGTTTTGTTATTAAAGGAACTCCACTGAGGTCCTAAAACATAAAATTTGAATTTCTTACACAGATCAACTGGGGTACTTTCAACAAAACAATATGCATATGATAATAAGAAAACCTCAGAAAAAAATTAAAATCATATTTTTGTGCTATTCTTAACCTGATTTGAGTGAAAAGCGTTGGAAAGCCTTTCAATGATGGATCATTTGTTATAATTAAAATAATTATTTTGGAAGAACTGAGAATAAATGATCTGAAATTTTGCACACAAGTTATTAGTCTAGACTTTCATCAAATGGAACATTAATCTCAAAAAAAAAATTACAGTCCCCGTCACATCAAAAAAACTCAGTAGAGTCCTTTCAAGAAACAATTGCTTGTGCTTTGCTTTTTACATCCTAGTGCAATGACATTTGATAGTTATGGTTTGATAATTAAACTACAGGGGCTGTCATTTTAGTAAGCTGTTTTTATGTTGTACCCTGAGCCATGCATATTAAAAAAACATGCAACAACGGCACAAGCTAGCTTACGGAACGTCGGTGATTCTAAAATAATGCACGGAAGGGCACCTGAGGTCTTCCTCCACCAGTAAAGCTGGAACGTCGCCAAATGACCTATACTGTGTCGGTGTGACATAAAACCCAAACAAAAACGGCACATGGTTACGGTCATCTATCTATTAATGCATGTTTACACCTTTAATGTTTACCTGTGTGCCTAGTTTTATGCCTGAATTTTAGTTATGATCTTTCTGTATATGCTGTTTTATTTATGGTCTGTATTTAAATCTTCAGGCAATGCTGGAAGGAAGTTAATGATTTAGAAACGAAGAAAGAGGAAATAATGAAGAAAGCACCTGTAGATAATAAGAAAGATGCTGATAGTGACGATGATTTAAATGAAGAAATGCTCGATGAATTTCTAGACTGGCGGTCCAAAAAATCCTGGAGATAGCAATATGAGGGTGCTTATAAAATAATTTGTGATATAAAATACATCAGAAGTGCTGAATAAACTGCATGCTGTGTATATAATATAGCAGTTAATATCTGTGTAGACAAGATTCTTGTCTTGGTGTTCAGTGCTAAGTGGAGAAACAAATTGATGACCATTTATCGTTAAGGAATTAGGCTCATTTAGGTCCCACCCTGGACTTATCCTGCTTTCAGTTTAGACGTCAGACTGTTTGAAGTAAGGGATTTCACTACCGGTACTATCTGTGAAGTGAATAGTCTAAAGTCCAGTCCAGCCGCACAGATACTCGGGCTAGCCTGGTTTTATAAATTATACTGTTTCTATTCATGTTCCAGTCTTAGTGAATGAATTGGTTATTAGAATTCTTTTGAAGTCACCTTAGTGTAATGTTACACAAAATACTGAATTGACAGGAACAATATTTAACCGAAGTAATTCTTATATACTTAAATGGCATAGGACTGTATTATAATGCAAAAATATATGTATGGCTATTGTAGTTCTTTGGCCTATGCAATTGGAAATTACAGCATATGAAAAATACTTGTTTAATAAAAATCATTGCATGACAAAACATATCAGTTCATGAAGTGCATATAAAAATGTTTGTGTATACATGTATATAAAGGTATACATGAGAAGCCTAGTGTCTGAGAAAAAACTTGTGGATTGTCTTAATCATTTGTAATGTACTTTTGTATGGACTGATACTATTACCCGTTTTGGAAAAAAGAAAAAATTTGCAAATTTTTAGATAATATCAAAATGTGTCAAACTGTTCAATAAGGACAACGTTCCTCAGAAAGTGCATATTTTATTCTGATACATAAATGGTTAATGAAAGTATATGTTCTTGAATTTAGTCAGTTTATTTTCTTATTGTGATTAAGTTATCGAGCTAGCTTTCAGACTATCAACTTCCTCAAATGAGCAAACAGGAAATTTTTCATATAACTTTAAAATGCATGACCTGATAAAAATTATATGTGTATGTTCAAAAACATGGAAATATCATATTCATAACTTCACATAAACTAGTCAAATTGGTATCAAAAGATGTGAGATATGATTTAAGAGCAAGAAAAAACTTCAGTTTTGGCATTAGTTTATTAAGTAATATTACATGTAGCAACATGGAGAAGAAGGTGTTGTACAAAGGTCAGGACAGAGCTCATGCAAGTTCAAGAAACATTCTGTTGGTTATAATTGGAATTCTATGGCAGTTTCTGTAACTGTTTCAGTAATTGTAAGTCATTTGAAAACTTTTAAACAATTAAAAAATGTTAAAAAGGTTTTTGCAGTTGGTGCATGTATTCTGGAAAAATCATGAGTAAATTGTTCTACCATTAATTTGTATGAATAAGAAATATGTTTATATTTTAATCAAAATGTATTGAATTCAAAGAAGTTACACAGAAAAATTAGGGTTTACAGTTGATATTGATAATCCATATGAAGCCTCATTTTACTTATTCCCCTTTGTAAAAATATTGAGTAATTGCCTATAACTGATGATCTGATGAAAACTTATCAAAATAAATTGGTGACATTTTCCAGATGTTGATAGTAACTGAAGAATGATAAAAATATCTGTTCTTTTGTAAATTACTTATAAAAGCAATGACTTGAGTCCATTTATCATTTTTATGTAGAATTGTGTTCCCACTAGCCAAATTTAAATGTTTTTAGCTATCAAAATTATGAAAGTACCATCATGCAACAAGGTTTTTATTTGTGGAAAAGTTATTTATTAAAGTGTCATCAGCTCATTTTTTTGTTGTCAACTTTAGCTGAGTTAGTAATATATTTCTATAGACCGATAGTGATTGACCAATAATTGATAATGAAAAATGTTAAGAATAAAATATAAAAACTTACTAAATTATAAAAAGTGCCCAACTCTTTTTGAAAATTGAATGCTACTATACATTCAAAATCAATATTTATAGCTATACATATCTGTGGTGCACATGGATTATTGATTATTTTTGCATAATAAAATATAAATTTGAACACAATTATTGCAAAATTTCAAGTTATACTCACCTGTGCATTCACCGTTTACACTTGGATGGGCATAATGTCACTTTGATACACAAAATTGTATTTTCATGATCATTATAATGTCTTATAATTGGTAAAATCAGACAGGATTTTATAGGCTAAGGGACCAAAAATCTCAGTAAATTGTTAATGATAATTTATTTACAGATGGTTTTACTAGTATAAAGTTATTGACAATTTAACAAATGATTTGCATTCTTCATGATTTCTATGCTTTCTGGTAAAAAGTATTGTTTTAAAATCCTCAATTATATTTGTTGATGGCTTATTGTAAATGATACAAATGTTCATGTGTAATGCAATAAAGCAATTAAAACTATTGGAAAGCTCTATTTTATATTGACTCAGTGTCATACATATACAAGATATGCAATGTAACAAGACTGATGTTTTCACAAGAATATACTTTGTAAATGTGCATGGTAAATTGTTGAAGTGTTCCAAAATTCATGGTAAATTGTTGAAAAGTTCAAAAAATAAAAAAAATTAATATTATTTGGTTCACAAACATCATTGTAACAGGTCACTTTTGACTTCAACTATGAACTACATATAAACTTGACTATTATACTCACCACAGTGTCAGTGTCAACATTTCCATTACACTTTGGTTTAGTTTTTTGCGTGCAAGTTAAAATCTAACAAGAGGGCCATGATGGCCCTGAAGTCGCTCACCTGTATAATGGCCCCCGGAGCCGGGCCAGTTTAAACCCCAGGGCTTTTATTTGAACAAACTTGGTAGACACCCATTAGAAGATGTTTCATGCTAAACATCTAAGGTCTAGCTGGTCAAGTTTTTTCTTTACACATATAGTTAATCAAAGTACTGAATGTACTGATGGGGAGGCCATGACAGAATGTTTCAGACTTATAGTTTCTTTTCTTTTTGCTTAAAATGTGCTGTTAAATAAGAAGATATGCACATTTCGCCATTTATCGTTCAGCCATTCATATATATGGTTAATATGGTTGACTATTTATTTTGTTAATATTCCAGAACATTTCATTGAGGTCTACATTCGGATTGTTAATCATGCAAATTTTGAAAAACCTAAAAAACATTTATAAATGACATACCAGCAGGTATGACGACTGTTCATTATAAGATCATAATACCATTTTACAACTGACGGTTCCTTATCAAAATATTCTAGGACTGTTCATCATAAATACTTTATGTCATTTTAATATCATTGAATGATAATAACAACTGCAAGTTAAGCAACATTCTAATTGAACATAAAAATTATACATATTTACATGTACCATAACTGAGATCAATAAGACACTGTCTTGTGATGAGTATTAATATTCATGCTCTACGGACAGAAAGTTGTCTTCTCCCGAAGCAAATCTCGAATAAAATCATGTTTCAGAAAATTATTCCCATTTCATTACTCGTCGCTGACTTTGACGGCTTCGGATAATATTAAAGCTAAATATTTCTTGAAAAAATACATATCTGCAAAGCTTATTCAAAATTGAATCAACCTAAGTGAAAGTTGATCAGGAAGTTATATCTTCTTTTTTTACCGCCTACACTCAACAAACTTATGGTAGTTAATCGATAGATTTTAAACCTCACTAGCTTGAAATATATACTGCGGAAAATATGTTGGTAACAGGGTGTGCGGTTATTACGTAGGGTTTTCCTTGTCGACCATTTCCCGCAAATAGATGAGAACATCGAAGGGTCAGTGCTATGAATGGTGTTATAAATAGCGTGTTTTGGAAGTTTTTGTTGAAACTTCTCCAAATCCCTCCAGAGGTATGCACGTCGCGGAGAAGGCACACGGCAGGTCAAGGTCAAGTCATCTCAAGTACCAGAGGTGATTGGTTGACCTGTCGTAACTTACTCTGGAGGTTTGGCGCTAATGAATGCCGTTTTTGTTGTCGTCAGTCAGGAAGTTGATGCCTTGACAGTACTGTCGTCTCCTTTACCACTAACGAACGAAGAATGGGCTACCAGGAAGATTCTGCTTGAAAAAGACGTCCCCGATGCTATAATCTCGGACATATGGTTATTCCGGTGCCGAGAATAAATTAACTTAAAACACACACTCTTGTTGAAAAAAAAACAAAAAAAACAACATATTTTCTGTAGTAATTTTTCAAGTGTTGTAAAATGAAAACGAAATTCGTCTTATGCCGCCAATTATTTTTAGAACACAAACATATAAGTTCTTTTTATTTGATTTATTCAAATAAACATCACTTCAGCGCGCGCAAATATCGTTTTCAAATTAAAATTTCGTAAGATATGTTGATGAATTTCCGATCCTCGACTGTAAGTCATTCGCATATATATGCGTTTTTTTTGTTTTGTTTTTTAAAGCTTCTAATTCTTTAATATTTTTATGTATCCCATAATCTGTATTGAAAATTTTATTACACATGGACTATCAAATTATGATTCGTTGCCCTAGAATTGAATAAACTTTCTAATTACACAATACAGGGTCATTCATTTGATTGAAGACTGATCTTTGCGTCTTTCTCTGAAATAATTATTTCCTTGTTAAAACATATTTGACCACATATTTTTGTCATTTAACTGTTCACTTTACTTCCGATTTTTGTTGTACCGAAACACATGTTTCTATTTGTGTTTTCTATTCGAATCTATAATCAGTTTAATGGGATCACCACCGGGTAAACGACTACTAGGTACTTTGGTCATGTTTTTTACCCCAAATATTTGAATGTTTCTATTGGGATTAAAATGAGCGTATTGGGATTAAAATGAGCGTAGATAACTAAACTACTGGTTGTATAAATCCCTGACCTGTCTAATTCTAATTATGAGATTAGTGGATATATTAAGACTTTCACTACAAAATATTCCTAAACAAAAGAGCACAGTCATGTTTAAATTTATTCCTTTACAAATAAAAGATCAGAGTAGGGATCTGTCAATTGCCAGACATATTTTTAAAAGATACTTTTATGTTAAAAGTTTGATTAATGAATTATGTAAGATGAAAATATAAGTATTGCTTTTTTTTATTTTGCTAATATTAAATGTAATCTTGTGGTGAAATTTTGTCGGAGGGTCCTTACGGATTTTGTAGTTAAATAGTTTTTTTTCGGCGATACATGGTTTAAGAATATAATGTTTTCAAACTATATGTTCATCACCATTAGTGAATTTTTAGTTAAATGTATGCAAAATATTTACTAACAGCTATATGATATAGCGGTTTATGAGCGTTTTCCGCGTACAGCCTCCTAAGGTGTACTAATAAGTTAGTTTTCCTTAGTTATCACGCAAGCATGATCCATGTCTCTGATGTAAGCGACAGTTTACCATTATTTGTCTTTAAAAAAATATTAAGGACTATTAATGGTTTATAACAACAAAAGAACATGCATGATATTGAGACTACGGTGTTGCAACGTTCTAGTTAATGACCCGTCATAAACAGTTGGTCGCTGCGTAGTAATTGGAAAATTGTTATCAAAAATAATAAAGAATATTTGCCACCTAATTAAAGCATTTACCTATAAATTTTCATTTATGCTTTTTGTTAAAAAAATATTGATAAAGTTATTATATAGAAGGGTTTTCATACCAGAACTATTTATTACCAACGTACGTATGCCTAAACCTGATTACCGCGGCAGTATGATGTCACGGAGTAGTGATTTTGAAAAAAATAACAAACAAAAATCAAGAATTTTTCAGAGAATTATTATCTTTAGATTTTGCAGATATGAAATAAAAGAATGAAAATATTTAAATATTGTAAATGTCTGTGATGAGTGATCAGACAGCTTAGAAAAAATCAAGGTACTATTTTTTAACCTGATTACCGCGGCAGTAAGATTTGACAGATAGTATTAACATTGGGGAGGCATAGCTTCCCCAAAAACAATGACACACCTGGGGCAGGGCCATTTTTGACCCAAGGGCTTTTATTTGAACAATCTTTGTAGACACTTACTAGAAAATGTTTCATGCTTAATATCTAAACTCTAGCTATTCAGGTTTTCTCAAAGAAGACTTTTAAGTTTTTGCTATACACATATAAGGAAAATGAATGTCACCGGGGCGGGGCCAATTTTGACCCTAGGGCTTTTATTTGAACAAACTTTGTAGACACTCACTAGAAGATGCTTCATGCTAAATATCTTAGCTCTAGGTCTTTGGGTTCTTTAAAAGAAGATTTTTTAAGTTTTTACTATATGCATATAGGGAAAATCAATGACCCCCTTGGGCGGGGCCAATTTTGACCCCAGGGCTTTTATTTGAACAAACTTGGTAGACACTCACTAGAAGATGTTTCATGCCAAATATCTAAGCTCTAGCTCTTTGGATTTTTTAGAAGAAGATATTTAAAGGCAACCAGAGTTCTGCATGGCATTAAATTCTTTGAACAATTTTCAAAGGTGACCACCAAAGGAACATTCATGTGAAGTTTGGATGAAATTGGCTTAGTGGTTTATGAGGAGATGTCATTTAAAGTAAAAGTTTACGGACGACAGACGGACGGACGCCGGACGAAAAGCGATCACAAAAGCTCATCCTGTCACTTTGTGACAGGTGAGCTAAAAAACTACTGAAGGGAATGGGTTGAAACTTCACACCCTAGTTCTCTTTGATTAACACAGGTCCAGTACCTTTTTACAGTTATGCCCTTGTCTTACTGACAAGCATTGAGTATAGTAGAGATTTTTGCCTCAAAGATAGTTCTTGTTTTAAATATAGTTAGACTTATTGTACAAAACTAGTATGGTTTATTTATTTGGAGCATGCCAGGAATCTGAACCAGCAGGTTACCTGCACTATTGATACAAAAGCAGGTGTCCATGTCTAACATTATGCTGTTGTGAATGACAGACAGGTAATTATCGATATATTGTTGATATTTGTCATCTGATATCAATATATTGTTGATATGCTTTTCACTGAATCAATGACAGCTCTTATTTTCATACACGCGAGTAACATAAATATGCCAAGTTAAACTTGTATTACATTGTTATGGCCCCTATCAGCTTTAATTGCTCATTGAAACCTAGTAGTCAAATAATAACTATCCAACAAAGTGGCAAATTTGCATATTTGGTTCACTGATGAAATATGATAAAATCAAGTAAAGTTCAACATTGCTGACAAATAAGACATTTCAGCCAATTATTCATTTGCAACTTTGGTCAAAACATTGTTTCTAGATGAGAACACTTGTGTGACAATAATTTGGAGGTATAAATTTCTTCAGTTTTTAGTTTCAGTAACTTGAGAAATGGTATGTAATATAAAAATGAAAGACATATTACATTTTCTATGTTATAATCATCAAATCAATAAAATAAATGTCTCATTAACAAGCAAATCTGCAACATTATTAATCATACATAAAACAAGATGATATAACTAAACAGTACTTAGAACATAATAAATTAGTATGCCCTGGGCACTATGTAATCTAACAATAACAGAAAAAAACAGACTAAGCATCATGATTCTGCTCGTTTCACAAACCTGTACTCTCATCATTTTATAACTCTAATGTCCGTCTCTTCACTAACATATCATGTAAAGGAACAATATAATTTATTTCTCATAAAAAAAAAAATAGTTCAATGATTACTTAAGAGTGCTATTACTTAAAATAATTAAGATATTAGTATAAAGAACATATGTGCTGAAAGTGATATAAAATATACAACTTTTAAACTCTAGAGAACACAGTGATTTATACAAATTTTAGAAGTTTAGATATTATTTCCATATTGATTAGACAAATAAGCATTGTTTTGCTATAGTTCAATAATTTGGTAAAAATTAATTTAAACAATAATTTGCTAAAGATTCAAATATGCGTTTATAGTTATAGTAACAAAATTATCTTTTATTTCATACTTAAAGATAAAACAAAATTTTAATATCTTGCCTGCAAAGTGTACTTCTTGTACAAGAATGACTTGCAAAATATGATCATAATTCTAACTAAATGTAAAATACACACGCCAATAATACATGTATCTAGAAAGTATCAGTTAGTTGCTTTGGTGTTTATAAAAATGATCTGTAATAGGTAAATCTACCAAGTAAAAAAAATCAATCATACAAACCAACAATTATGACATAATTAACTAATTGACAAATGATCTATGCTTATCTTAGTGATAATGATTATATTAACCGAGATTCTAAGAAAATTGGATCAAATACATGTTCATTGTTACAAGAGTAGGCCTATGCGACCAACATAAAGACTGGACAGCACTAATCTGTACAATCTGACTATGGTAGACTCTATACTTCTATTTCCTCACTGGTAATTTTTAATCTTCGCAAGCCTAAAAGAAAAGTTGTCCTCGGCAAACTCTTTCTTACAGCATCATCTTGATAACATTAAACAATCGGACAAACTAAAAAATCCAGAGACTTAAAAATCATAGAACATAATCTGCAAGAGTTATTTCACTACCTGATGATGTCAAATTTTTGTGTAAAGGTTAGATGTACCATGTGTGCTTTTATGTATAACAACATTATTACATACAAATAAGAAATGCTTAACAAAAATTAAAATGATTGGTTAGGCACATGATTGTGATATATTTACTGAAACTGTCACAAAAAGATTTCAGCCATTATTTCATTAAGATATTTGGCATTCATGCATAATGTTGAACTTACAATGTAAAATTGTTTATTGATAATTAATTGTATAAAACAAAAATTTGATTGAGAAGAAAACAAGAATAAACAACACTTACACAAAATGTTTACATACTGATTCTTACACATGTAAAGTAAGACATTGACTTAAATGTAATTATTCGGAAAATAAAATGAAATATAAAACCTTACCTGTATTTAAAAATATATGTAATGATTCAAATGCAACTTTTTTCATTTTGAAATTTAGAATTAAAGGGGAAAAAAGAACCTTAAAAATAGAACAACTCAATTTTTGCTACATGTAACATGGTTCGGTGTATTCATACACTTTTGACAAGTTCTCTGGAAATTGTTGTCAAATAGTAAAGGACGTGATAACACATGCAACATACCTGTTGTGGTTTCTTTTTGACAAGACGTACATGTACTAAGATTGGTTCATCATTGAAATCCTCACATTAATAAAGTCAGTTTGAAATTCAAAGCATGAAAAATCTAACTGAGCTGGATAAAATGTTAAGATATTTTGACATAAATTTTATTGTAATGACAGCACCACATGTTTCAGAACATTTCATGTTATACATTCAAATGGTATCAACACAAATTAATATTTCAGTAAACTTCCTTTTAGTTCTTATATATGCCTACTCACTCAAAGACTTGGGGGAAACAAACCATTTTATGAGATTTAAAGTTCTTATCACTTAAAATAATGTGATCCCTTCAAAAAAATGAAGGCAAAAAAAAACACATATAGTTCCAGCATCATCAAAAGTTTAAAGGGACTCCACTGAGGTCTTATCACTTAAATCGGGCCAAGAATAGCACAAAAATATGATTTTAAATTTATAAAAATACAATTTTAAAGTTATTTCTGAGTATATTTCTTAAGTATTATCTTTTGCAGATGTCCCACTTCATCTACTGCGAATTCACTTAAATTCGTGGGCATGAAATTTCGTGGTTTATTCAAAAAGGGCATTTTTGTGGGTTCTTAAATTCATGGATTTTTGTTTTCTTGTTAAAAAAAATTCAGTAACCTAATGCAAAATAATCTTAAACTTAATTGCCGAACATTTTTACTTACAACATGTACATATCTTTACTTGTCACACAGCGCTTTTCAATAAATTTAATCCTTGCCTCTGGGCATAACTAATATAGCACAGTTACTGCCGATAATTGACTGCAATTAACACATGTATGTGACATGATATGCACCTCCATTGGACACACTGCCCCTGTAATTCGCCGATGTAAACAACGCATAATTTATACGACACCTGACAGGTTTTAACCAGCGAGTTTAAAAGTTTACACCCTGAATTGGTCTTAACATATTTGACAGTAACTACACGCAACATCACAGCGACTGTGTAAATTTACATGCATATAAATTAATCTCGGTAAATAACACGAGTATGTGTGGATCTTGTAATAGTCGGTGGCGTCTTTGATGTTGACGGAATAGCATTCGCACAAATACAGATTAAAATTCATATAAACTAGATCATTTAAAACAACAAAAGAATGTACAATAAATCTGTTTTAGCGATCGTATTTTTTTTATAGTTTTGTGTACTTACGACATTAATATCAAAGACTTTTTTTTAATAAATAAGAGCAAACTGACAATTTTTATTAGCGCTAATTATTGCACTGCCTGGGTTCCCATATTTACTCGATTATGTCAAGTATTCTTGTTGACACAATCAAGTCCTAGTAGACTACAACGATCAAGTACGTATATGCGACATTTGTGACAGTAAATTGAGGACATATAATCGAGTTTTCTTTCAAGTTTCTTAAATATTGTAAACGGATTTAATATGTCACTAACCTGATTATCTGTCTGTATATACATCCATTTCACGAAATATCGGCCGGAAAAGAGCCGACGCATGTTTGTAATATATAGAACAAAGACTGGGTAAGAAGTATTTGTTGGGATAAAAGTTCGTGGGATCTTAAATTCGTGGATTGACCTACCCACGAAAACCATGAAAATTCGTGCCCCACGAATAATAATGATTTTACAGTATATAAGAAATTCAAACTTCATGTTTTTACATTTGGACCTCAGGGGAGTTCCTTTAACAAGAGGGCCATGATAGCCCTAGATCGCTCACCTGACCCATCAAACTCATCCAAACAATTACCTAGAAAAGCATTCTGACCAAGTCTCATGACAGGTGAGTCAAAAATGTAACCACTACAGTGTTAACAAGGATTATCCATATTTGAGCAGTGTGACCTAGTTTTTTACCCAGGTGACCCATATTCAAACTTGACCTAGAAATCATCAAAACAAACTTTCAGACCAATTTCCAGGATACTTGGATCAAAACAGTAGCAACTAGAGTGTTAACAAGATTTTTCTATTTTTAGCTCCAGTGACCTAGTTTCACATGCGATTTCGAACTCATCCGAGCAATTACCTAGACAAGCATCCTGACCAAGTTTGATGATAATTGAGTAGAAAATGTGACCACTAGAATGTTAACAATGTTTTTCCATATTTGGGCGGTGTGACCTAGTTTTTCAACCAAGATAACCAATGTTCGAACTTGACTTAGAAATCATCAAAACAAACTTTCAATTTACAGGATATTTGGATCAAAACAGTAGCCACTAGAGTGTTAACAAGATTTTTCTATTTTTAGCTCCTGTGACCTAGTTTTTCATCCAAGATGACCAATGTTCGAACTCATCTAAGCTATCACCTAGACAAACATCCTGACCAAGTTTGATGATGATTGAGGCAAAATTGTGACCTCTAGAGTGTTAACAAGGTTTTTCTATTTTAAGCTCAGGTGACCTAGTTTTTCATCCAGGATTACCTATGTTCGAACTCATCCAAGCTATCACCTAGATAAGCATCCTGACCAAGTTTGATGATGATTGAGCAAAAATGTGACCGCTAGAGTGTTAACAAGGTTTTTCTACTTTTAGCTCCAGTGACCTACTTTTTCATCCGAGATGACCCATGTTCGAACTCATCCGAGCTATCACTTAGACAAGCTTCCTGACAAAGTTTGATGATGATTGAGGCAAAAATGTGACCGCTAGAGTGTTAACAAGGTTTTTCTATTTTTAGCTCCGGTGACCTACTTTTTCATCCGAGATGACCCATGTTCGAACTCATCCAAGCTATCACCTAGACAAACATCCTGACCAAGTTTGATGATGATTGAGGCAAAATTGTGACCTCTAGAGTGTTAACAAGGTTTTTCTATTTTTAGCTCCGGTGACCTACTTTTTCATCCGAGATGACCCATGTTCGAACTCATCCAAGCTATCACCTAGACAAACATCCTGACCAAGTTTGATGATGATTGAGGCAAAATTGTGACCGCTAGAGTGTTAACAAGGTTTTTCTATTTTTAGCTCTTGTGACCTTGTTTTTATCCGAGATGACCCATGTTCGAACTCATCCGAGCTATCAACTAGATAAGCATCCTGACCAAGCTTGATGATGATTGAGGCAAAAATGTGACCGCTGGAGTGTTAACAAGGTTTTTCTATTTTTAGCTCAAGTGACCTAGTTTTTCATCCGAGATGACCCATGTTCAAACTCATATGAGCTATCACTTAGACAAGCTTCCTGACAAAGTTTGATGATGATTGAGGCAAAAATGTGACCGCTAGAGTGTTAACAAGGTTTTTCTATTTTTAGCTCTGGTGACCTACTTTTTCATCCGAGATGACCCATGTTCGAAGTCATTTGAGCTATAACCTAGACAAGCATCCTAACCAAGTTTGATGATGATTGAGGCAAAAATGTGACCGCTAGAGTGTTAACAAGGTTTTTCTATTTTTAGCTCCGGTGACCTACTTTTTCAGCCGAGATGACCCATGTTCGAACTCATCCGAGCTATCACCTAGACAAACATCCTGACCAAGTTTGATAATGATTGAGGCAAAAATGTGACCTCTAGAGTGTTAACAAGGTTTTTCTATCTTTAGCTCTTGTGACCTAGTTTTTCATCCGAAATGACCCATGTTCAAACTCATCCGAGCTATCAGCTAGATAAGCATCCTGACCAAGTTTGATGATGATTGAGGCAAAAATGCGACCCCTAGAGTGTTAACAACAAAATGTGAACGGACGGACGACGGACAATCATCGATCCTAAAAGCTCACCCTGAGCATGCTCAGGTGAGCTAAAAATACATACTATGTATATGTTAAAGTAATAGGACAGTGAGTCATTAAGTTTAAAGTTACTTATTCTTCATCTGCAATATATTTCTAAAAGTGTGTGATGACAATCATTTATTTTCATCTTTGATATGTTTGAAAAACTGTCTTCATCTTGTATGACACTAGAATTGCCAATATTTGGGAGCTATAGTTATAACAGATGGATCTACTTTGTCCTGGCTCTCCACTGGTTCCCAGCTTTGATTATGTGTACCTGTATCCATGCTTGTGCTTGAGTCAACTACTGAACCTGGGTATGTCTGTGCAAGTTTCATCAACCCACTGTATTGACTAGCTTTTTCTCTGACAAAAAAAGTTCAGTTTAAACATAAATATTTAAGCACCACGGCAATGAAAGCTAAAAATTCACTTGAACAGCTGAGGAGTCACTCTGCTGGAAATAACTAGTGCTGGTTTCATATGAGGAACCTTGGTTATTACCCCCCAACAGGGCTCAAACCCATGATGCCTAGGTTGAGAGGCAGACACCTTAACAAACAGACAGGGAAGTGAACCTTACATGTCACCACTACTCACAAAAAGGTATATTGTACCAGATTGACATATATATCAATAGTGAACTTATTCATATATTAAACATTATTCAAGTAATTATATACCTGTATGATAGCTGTTCCTCTGGTGACATAGTCCTCCATTTGTGACCCAGCAGTTTCTGTATAACAGATATATGTACACCAGGATGCTCACTGTATATATAATAAACAAGGCAAAGTTTTCATTTAAATGTATTACTAGCTACATTCATGTATCTGCTACCTGTAGGTCACAAAATTATTGTTTAAATTTTAAAAAAAGAATTATAAATTCTGCATTATGTATGAAAGAAATATGATTGTATATTACTTTAAGAGCATTGGTAAAACTTACAATAGCATAATATTTTGTTCCATAACATTTTATACAGTTTACACACAATATTTCTGGAGACATTCTATGTTACAATTAAAATGGGAGTAGTATGTAGAACTCATCAAGGTTCATCTGCATGCAGACGTTGAAGTTCCACTTACATACAGTTCCTACTAGGCCAATGCATTTCTTTTAATGGACAGTTTTATGTATTGCTATTACAGGTCCAAAGTGAGTTTGACCTTTAACCTGACAATTGGTTTTGCCTGCAGAACTTATCAAGGAACATCTACACAACAAAATTACAAGTTCCTAGGTCAATACATTTTGAATTTACAGGCCAGGTTTATGATTTGTTATCATAGGTCCCAATGACCTTGACCTTTTGACTGAAACATGGGTGTAGTAAGTTTAACTTATTATAATGCATCAACATATAAAGTTTCAATGTTATAGTTTTGTTAGTACTGAAGTCAATGACAATAAACAGAAAAATAACCAAAAAGGTTAACCAACGCCGGCATGTGGGTAATGACAATCTCTCCTCTCTTTCTCTTACTGCTCTAGGTTAATAAGTTTTATACTTGAGAGCAGATATAACAGATAAAAGTCTGATATTACAACATTTTATTTTATAATGATTATATACATGAAGAACCTTTTTAAGTTAAAAACAAGATTGCATTTGAGAAAAATGCTATGCCACCGCATGGTTCAAATTTCATAGCTGTACATCAAAGGACAAGAAAGTAGGTCACATCATCAAAATCTAGGTCAAAGTTCAATTTTACAACCAAAACTGTGCACATGGTCAAAATGTGATTGCTGTACATCAAAGGACAAGAAAGTAGGTCAAGGCATAATTTTGACCCACGGGTTTAATAACAATCTTGATACAGGTCCACCAAACAACATTTCAAGTCAAATATCTAAGCTATAGCTTTCTCCCATTCAGAAAACATTTGTTTTATTTTCTGTCTTTACTACGTGTACATAATGAGAATCACTGCCCCCGGGCAGGGCCAATTTTTGACATTTGAACAACTTTGGTAGAGGACCTATAGATGATATTATATATCAAACATCAAAGCTCTATGCCTTGAACCTTCAGACAAAAATTTTTTTTTCACTATATGTACATAATGAAAATCAATGACCCCCGGGGCGGAACCAATTTTGACCCCAGGGCTATAATTTGAACAATCTTGCTAGAGGTTCACTACACAATGTTTCATGCAAAATATCTTAACTTTATCCTTTGTAAATTTAGAGAAGATGATTTTTTAAGTTTTAACTATATACATATAGGATAAACCTATGGCTCCCAGGGGCGGGGCTAATTTTGACACAAGAGGCAAAATTTGAACAACTTTGGTAGAGTACCTTTAGATGATATTATTTAACAAATATTAAAGCTCTAAGCCTTGTACCTTCAGACAATAAGATTTTTTTATTTTTTACTATATGTATATATTGAAATAAATGACCCCCAGGGCAGGGGCAATTTTGACCCCAGGGCTATAATTTGAACAATCTTGCTAGAGTTTTACAACACAATGTTTCATGCAAAATATCTAACCTTTAGCATTTGTCAATTGCTAGAGGAATTTTTTTAAAGTTTTTACTATATACATATAAGGAAAACCAATGACCCCTGGGGCGGGCCGATTTTGACCCCAGGGCTATAATTTGAACAATCTGGGTAGAGGTCTACCAGACAATGCCTTATGCAAATATCTAAGCTCTAAGCCTTTTGGGTCTTTACAAGAAGGTGTTTTAAGTTTTTACTATATGTACATATAGCGAAAATCAATGACCCCGGGGCAGGGCCGATTTTGACCCAAGGGCTATAATTTGAACAATCTTGGTAAGGGTCTACCAGATGATGCCTTATGCAAAATATCTAAGCTCTAGGCCTTTTGGGTTTTTACAAGAAGGTATTTTAAGTTTTTACTATATGTACATAGTGAAAATCAATGACCCCCGGGGCGGGGCCAATTTTGACCCCAGGGCTATAATTTGAACAATCTTGTTAGAGGTCTACCAGACAATGCCTTATGCAAAATATCTAAGCTCTAGGCCTTTTGGTTCTTTACAAGAAGATTTTTTAAATTTATTCTTATAATTCCTTTTGGTTGCCATGGCAACCAGATTTCTGCATGGAATGAAATTTTTTGAACAACTTTGGAAGCCCTTCACCCAAGGAACAATCCTGCTAAGTTTGGTTGAAATTGGACTGGTGGTTTTTCACAAGAAGATTTTTTAAGTTCACTATATTTAATCTATATAACGCACACACAAACACACACACACACAGGTGAATCGCTATATGCCACCGCATCGCAGATGCTGCGGTGGCATAAAAAGAACAAAAATAAACAATATTAATGATTATGAAGAGAAAATGTTACCTTATATATTTTTGTCTATTTAGCTGACTAAACATCATAAAACCATTCATCCATGTTGATCTTCGATGGTCAACCTTTCTTTTCCCATATGTGCTCTCACTAAAAGATAAACTTACTTATTTTCATGACACAATCAACACTTTTACCCTATTATTACATACTTCAACCTTTACCTAGCTTGAAGCAATTGTAATTGCTTCTTCTTGATTGTCTATTATTAACTTTCCGCTAAACTTTGAATTTTTCATCCTGTCACAAAACTTGATAATGAACAGTTCTCAATTTAGGAAACTCAGCAGGTTAAAAGTTAAAAACAAGAAATGTTTGTGAACCATATATGCAACCATGATGATAACTAAGTTGTAATTTCAAGCTTAAGACTGTGTGTCAACTTTTGAGGAAATGAACAATTTGACCTTTGATCTGCTGAACTCAAAATCAACAGTGTTCATCTAAACGTCATTACCAAGCTCCATATTAAATCCAAGGACTGTAGGCCTAAGCATTCTCAAGTTATTGATCAGACAAGATTTTTCAGGTCACAGTCATAGATCAATCAACATTGGCAAAGTCATATAAATTCTTGCTTTTTCTAGGTGGGGGGATTTATAAATTTAATTTGACTTCAGAATTTTTTCTGCTGTAATGTCCTTACTCATTTTAATGGTAAATGAAGCTGCCATTTTTAAAATTCATTCAGCTACCAAAATGATATATTAAATTTACATACCTGCTTCCAATCTCAGGCCACTCCACTATGTTTGCTGCATTTGGTTTAATTCCAGTAGATCTTGTCTGCAGTTTTTGAGCTTGTCCTGAATATAGCAAAAATGTTTTTGTATTGATAATATCAACAAGTAACCTGATATAGGGTAAAATTTTAACAGTTTGTAAAACACAATTTAAGTTTTGTTCTGTATTTGATTATTGTAAAAAGATGGCAAATCCAATCAGAACTTGGTTCCCAAAATTAAGTACATAAATAATTTTTAGGTGTGGAAAGCTGAAAGTACAAAATGAACTGGGTTTGAATATCACTCATGTGGTCATAATTGGTTTTAATGATGTATCACTTATCTAAATATGGAAGCATGCATTATTGTTTTTGTTTAACTTTTAATTTACCATTCTGGAGGAAAACTTTCAGTGAAATTTTGGGAATTTAGGAATGATTACATTTTCTGGTATTAGATATATCAAGGGTTGCCCACAAAACTGTTGAAAGTCCTTTATTTCATATAAGTTACTGCAGTTTTGTGGTCAACCCTCGATATAAGGACAAAAATGCTGTATTCATTGATTTTATGAAATAATTTCATGCTATCCATGCTTTCTCAAGATTTCTAAATAATACAAAAGTTAATCCTACAACTGGACCACTGTTTCCTACACAGAAATTAAAAGTAAGCAAATATTTAATATTAATATTCTTGCAATAAAAAATGGCAATCTGAGATTAAAATGCCTCCAAGAACAAAAGTTATATGTACCTTCTTGCCCACTTATTTTTATTTTTTTTGGTTCTGGTAGCCAATTTTCGTCATCACTGTCTTCATTGGTCCTGTCCAGGAATGGTGATCTAAATGGTGTGTATCTCTTTCTTTTATTCTTCGCCTCCGGAGACCACAGGTCTGTTGTATATTGAAGTGGAGAAACCACTGTCCCTGGCAATTGTTGAAGGGTAGGCATGGTAGGTACAGGTATTCTTTTGAGCTGTGTCACAGCAAAAGGTCCCTCTGGCCGGGGATTCAGATTTTCTTTCTTGTTATTTTCTGCAGGCTGACTAAATTGCTCTTGATTTATGTGAACAAGTTTTGGTGGTAAAGGAGATATGTTATGTTCACCATTCCCTGTAGAGGTGGAGGAAACTGTGCGTGTGTCCATAAGCTTACTTTGTAAACTTCTCTGTGAAGGGCTGGCATGCACTATTTGTATTTTCACATTTCTTACAGGGATGTTTTTTAGAATTTTCCCACCTTTCTGCGTAGCAGATGAAGAAGCTGATCTGGGTGTAGAAGTTCTTGACTTATCTCCAATGACATTAAGCTGTTCTGTTTTATTACATGTATTGATACTAGACTTTGAATAATGATGGCTACTTGGTGTAACCTTAGTAAAATGATTAGTATTGGTGTAAAGTTCTGTTGGATATGGCACACACTCTGGTACTTGATGGAAAATGCCCATGTTTTCAAGGTCAAGGCTATTAACTGTGCTTGACAGAATTTCTGTCATTGGTCTGATTGAGCTTTTGTATACAGAGCTGGTAGATGGCTCAGTTAAACCAGTGTCAAGTTTAGGTTTAGTTTCAAGAATATTTTCTGGGGATACACTCTCCATTTCTTTATGTCCAGGAGTGTCAGCTTTATCTGGTAGATGGTGCTTGCTGACAGAATGCCAAATACCCTGTAAGAGATCAATGGTAAATTATTTATGATTAATGAGGAGATTTTCAAAAATTACCCTAGTGTTTATTGTGATAAGGGCATGTTCACCTTATTCAGGTGTTAATCATGTCTTTAAAGTTGTGACCTATGTTAATACAATGGACCTGCATGCAAACATTCCTGCCAATAAATGCCATAAGACCATGCAAGTTTGTACTTTTCCTTCCATCCCAAAAAGTTTTTGAGGCACAACCAATAAAAACATCCAAACTTTATAAATATTAGAAAGTTAAAAATTACAAAAATAGAGAAATTATGCGAAAGCTTGAATGTAAAATACATGTAGTATTGAATTCAGTACATTACAGTTGAAATTAACAATATGATCTCCTATTTTTGTTAATTTAGCTTGTCATAATTGCATACTTTTATTGTGATATTAGTTGATTTTTGACTGTTACTTTCTGATCATTTGTTGTTATAACCAGTTGCATATTTTATGCCTTGATTTGATAAAAACTGAAACTGAATTTCATCAATTTTTAGAGCACAACAAACATGTCTTTCTTGGCTTTTTCTGATAAACACAAAAGCAATTTCAGAACCAGTGATTTTTCACTTTACATTTCGTGGTTAGAGAAGTTCGGTATTTCTTCAGATATGCCTTGTTTTACCGAGATAATTAATAAAAGGCTATTTAGACCAGTAAGGAGTTTCAAATATGGCAAGCATACTATTGCCAAAACTTGAGGTATCAAAAATCTGTGAATAAATACATTTCTTTCATGTTGCAAATATATTAAAGTAAAGGTTTTTGTTAAAAGAATAAGGGATAATACCCTAGCTGGTGGACTATGAAGGAACACGCTGTCCTTGTATCTAACTGGGCTGGATAAATCAAAACCTTCATCTGTATCATCCATACATGTTGATGTACTCACCGTCTCTTCACGCTAATAAAATAAAATCACAACTTAAAGTAACATTAAAACTGTTGCATGTTCTGGTTATCTTATCAAATTGAACTGTTTGATCCCATAATAACATAAAAATTACCATATGACTAAATGGAATAATTTCGATACTGTTTGCAAACTATTCCATCTAAATGACACTTGCAAGGGAAACTAACCTATTATCAAAAACAGTTTTCTTTAGACAGTAAAACCTAAACATGTAATAAAAAAAATTTAGTTCAAGCTTTAGAATGATAATTAAAATATCAAGGGTGTACTTTTACACAGAATTTAAGCTTTGATTTGAATTGATTTGCCATGAAGATTTACCATAAAAGATGGAGTGACAGTTCTAAGATGTTCTGACTCGCTGTATAATTCATCTTCCATGAAATTATTGATCTCTGAAATATAAAAATGTAAAATATGATAGCTTGATTTAATCTTATTTAATTGCTCATCAATAAATCTGTAAAATTTTGAACAAAACCAATATCACTTAACAAACCTTCTATAAACAAAACAAATTGGTGATGATCACACAATTTAAAAGGTGTTTTACTAATACAACTGTTTAACATAAAAAATCGAAGGTTCCTGGCATACATGCCATAACATCCTGGATGTCCCGGATTGTCCCAGACATCAAGGATTGTCCCATACATTCAGGATTGTCCCAGACATTAAAGGATTGTCCCAGACATCCGGTAAATGTCACGGATGTGTCTCTGGGGAATGATTTTTGTCCTGGTACTTTAGAAATCCGAAATCATTTCTTTTGCAGCAAGAACTATTACAATTTCATGAATTATTATTTTCAAGTAAATTAATCTGATGTGTCAATATCATTATGATTGTTCCCAGACAGTAAAGTAATATGTAGAAATTGATGATGCTAATCCTTTAATTAATTAGTAAATGTGATCCCTTCCAATTAACAATTATCAGCAATAATTTAGATTAATTAACAGATCAATCATTAACCCCTTGTGCCTTGCTGGGTAAATGTGTCATCAACTGTTATGAACAACTTGCAAGCATAAGTTGACTCCGCCTTATTGCAACAATTGACTCAAATTAGTGCTAGAATCAAGTCTTCAAAAATAGGCAAATGTTTTAGCTATTTTTACAAAAACAGAAGGTGCATTGTTCATTCTTAACATAGCCTTGTCCTATTTTGTGACCCAATTTACAATGATGCTAATAACTTTTAACAAGAGGGCCATGATGGCCCTGAGGTCGCTCACCTGTATATAGCCCCCCCACCCCCCCACACACACCCATAAGAAGATGTTTCATGCTAAACATCTAAGCTCTAGCTCATTGGGCTTTTTAAAAGAAGATTTTTTTAAGTTTTTACTATACACATAGAGTTAAAAACAATGACCCCTGGGCGGGCCAGTTTTGACCCAGCGCTTTTATTTGAACAAACTTTGTAGACACTTACTAGAAGATGTTTCATGCTTAATATCTAAACTCTAGCTATTTGGGTTTTTTCAAAGAAGATTTTTAAGTTTTTGCTATACACATATAACGAAAATCAATGACCCCCGGGGCGGGGCCAATTTTGACCCCAGGGCTTTTATTTGAACAAACTTGGTAGACACCTATTAGAGCATGTTTGATGCTAAATATCTTAGCTCTAGCTATTTGAGTTCTTTAAAAGAAGATTTTTTAAGTTTTTACTATATGCATATAGGGAAAATCAATGACCCCCTGGGGTGGGGCCAATTTTGATCCCAGAGCTTTTATTTGAACAAACTTGGTAGACACCCATAAGAAGATGTTTCATGCTAAACATCTAAGCTCTAGCTCATTGGGCTTTTTAAAAGAAGATTTTTTTAAAGTTTTTACAATACACATATAGTTAAAAACAATGACACCCCTGGGGCGAGGCCAGTTTTGACCCCAGGGCTTTTATTTGAACAAACTTTGTAGACACTTACCAGAAGATGTTTCATGCTTAATATCTAAACTCTAGCTCTTTGGGTTCTTTAAAAGAAGATTTTAAGTTTTTGCTATACACATATAAGGAAAATCAATGACCCCCGGGGCGGGGCCAATTTTGACCCCAGGTCTTTTATTTGAACAAACTTTGTGGACACTCACTAGAAGATGTTTCATGCTTAATATCTAAACACTAGCTATTTGGGTTTTTTCATAGAAGATTTTTTAAGTTTTTACTATACACATATAAGGAAAATCAATGACCCCCGGGGGGGGGCAATTTTGACCCCAGGGCTTTTATTTGAACAAACTTGGTAGACGCCCATTACAACATGTTTCATGCTAAATATCTTAGCTCTAGCTCTTTGAGTTCTTTAAAAGAAGATTTTTTAAGTTTTTACTATATGCATATAGGGAAAATCAATGACCCCCTGGGGCGGGGCCAATTTTGACCCCAGGGCTTTTATTTGAACAAACTTGGTAGACACTCACTAGAAGATGTTTCATGCCAAATATCTAAGCTCTAGCTCTTAGGATTTTTTAAAAGAAGATATTTAAAGTTTTTTCTTTCGGTTGCCATGGCAACCAGAGTTCTGCATGGAATTAAATTCTTTGAACAATTTTTAAAGGTGACCACCAAAGGAACATTCCTGTGAAGTTTGGATGAAATTGGCCTAGTGGTTTATGAGGAGATGTCATTTAAAGTAAAAGTTTACGGACGACGGACGACGGACGGACGACGGACGCCGGACGAAAAGCGATCACAAAAGCTCACCCTGTCACTTTGTGACAGGTGAGCTAAAAAGTACCAAACACTAGACTATAATTTTAGATGCAATTTGATTGTCAAAAATATTACTATAAATAATAGTATAATACATATTTGATTATAGTTATCCTACAAAGTAAAATTTTTTTAATACTACCATGAAAATGACTGTCATCATCAAGGCTAGACTGTGTCTCTACTTTAATTCCTGACTCCTGTGAAGATTGCTGAGACAGGTCAATAGTCTTAAAACCAGTCTGCTCTGTATTCCAATATATATGACTGTCAAACTGACTCAGATATCTTGGGGTACTGTCAACATCTTGGTATGCAAACTGACCAAGTCTAACAATGTTATCTGTGGTAGAATCCACAGTTGGGGAAGATATCTTTTCTCTACGGTACTTCAAAATCCTCGGATCTTCAATTTTAACTGACTTTGTTGCCTACAAAAATAATCATATATCATGATAAAATTCTAGATTTCTTAATTTAACACAGTTTGTAAGAAACCTAATTTCTAGTGAATGTTTTAATAATTTAAGTTATATATAATCTTTAATTTTTCATCGAAAGTGATGGCTGTCATGAATTTTTCATTTTGTTTCTCTTTATAACTTCATTGTGTTAGACTTAACAAACAAGCCACACAAACACAAACATTCAGTAATTATTTATTGCATACGTTTTGGCTATATGCCTTCATCAGTGCAAAACATGATAAAATTACCGAAAGCTACATCATAATGAAACAAGTGTTAAACCAATAAACATGTTATGGCTTTTAGGGGCCAAAATATGATAACATGTAGAAACAAATACTTACATTATGAGTAAAGCTGGTACATTATTTTTTTCATTGTGTTAGACTTACATTCTTGCATATGATCTGGAATATCCTGTTAAATGTGTTAAGAAAACACTTACCCTTTGAGATATGTTATTTTTTCTACCAGGGAAAGCTACAAGTCTATCATTCTCTTCATCCTCATCATCCCCATCACTTGTTCTATAGCTGCTAGGCTGATAGAAATCTTCTAAAGTATAAAACAGAGATACTTATTGATGTGTTTGTTTATTGTTAGGGTTTTAAGTCACACCAACAATTTGAAGGTCATAATAGTGACTGTCCAGCTTTACTGGTGGAGGATAACCTCAGGTGCCCCTCCGTGCATTATTTAAGGCTCAAGCTGTAACCTAAGTAGAACCACTGATGTTCCTTAACCTAGCTGGATTGCTTTCTTACGTGAAAGAATTCAAAGTCCCTGGCAGGATTCCAACCCACAGCTGTCAGGGCCAACGAATGACCATGGATGGCCCCCTTTCATTGACTTAACTTTATGACTGGGAGCATTACTAATGACTTGCGTATACCACGCTAATCTGATCATACTCTTTACCATTGGCTTCTTGAATCTGATAACAGAAGCATCCTAGCTTGTGTCAAATGTTATAAACTGTTATAGGTAACATAAAAACATTACTGTCAGTGGTAATATTGCCAAACCTAAGTGAAGAGACTCTACTTACCAAATACTTTCATTACTTGTCTCATTGATGAGACTTTAAAATGAGGCCTATGTAAGCACCTTAGTTTCTTTATTTGCTTTGTCACAGACACTGTAAATGTCATACTGGGACTTTCCAACACTTTTCTGCATTATTTCAGGCATAAGCTGACACCTAAGTAGACCCACAGACCTACTGTAACCTAGCAGATTAGTTTCCTCACATGAAAGAATCCAAAATCCCTGAGAGGATTTTAAACCACAGCCGTTTGGGGCAAGTGATTTGAAGGCAGCGGCCTTAACAACATGGCCACAGAAGCCCTCTGAAAGTAGATCCATAAAATATGGACCTATAGGAATAGAATAAGAACATAGAAACCTCACCCATAAAGGTGTAGCGTTCCTACATCAGATATAAATGGTTATTTATACTTGAGTCAAGTTTTAGAACCCGGAACGTTCAATTTGTTCGCTAAAAGCACGGAACGTTTTCAAGAAAAACATTCGTAACCAATAAATCCTTTTGCATCTGAAATCATACCCTGCAAAATTAATATAAAACATTTCTTTCTTTTATCCCTTAAATTAATGTTTTTTCAATAGATACATTGTGATAAAATACAATGAGATAATAAGTTTATATAACATTGTTTAAAAACTGAGTGAAATATGGAAAAAAAAAATAAAAAATTTTCCCCCCTCATTCCCTTCAAGTGGGGAAAGGTAAAACAAAAATTACAACAACAGAACTATAAAAGAAGTTTCAATAAATTTTGTAACCATTTTAAGTAATGTCTGACTACCCCAATAATTTTTAATAGTAAAAGTAAAAAGACAAACTGAATACATGTAAAAAAATATTCTGATTAAAAGAACATTGATGTTGGACCCTCATTCAATTTGGTAGCAATTGAGACACAAAACCTATGCAGTTTTTAGATGAAGTTTACAGAGTTATTATTTTTCAGATAAGAATTGACTGAAGACAACAATCCTCATAACTGAATGTTAGGAACAGATTGGTTAATAATTACAACTGCATTCTAGAGGTGTGGTATTACTTTTAGTTTCAGCACTTGTAAAAGATAAAATTAAGCAAACAAATGTAAAATCAACAATTAAAGGCTTGCTAAGCAGAGATTTACAGAATTACCTTGGTTTCTTTAGCTCCCGGATCATATCCTGGTACACGCATACATACGTCTTTTAACGATTCATTCAAACTATGGTGTCTTACTCTGAATAGAAATTAAAAATAAATAAAAAGTGCAAATTCACATTAAAGAATTTATCACCCCTGGGGCTCTAGAACGCGAGGGGCAAGCAGTTAGAAGTCAACAATCTAAACAATTTGGTTATGGACGCCCCTGGCTAATGAATATTATTTCATACCAAAACCAAAATAATCAAATGGGATATTAATCCTGTACAAGTTAGGAATTGATTTTAGTCTCAACAAGTTCAATAAGATACATTAAATCAGTATACAGAGTTGCATTTGTAAAATTCAGCACAAACCATTCATAACTAGAATGTGTCTACAGGACACTGAAGCCCAAACTAACAGCTGTATTGGCACAAAAAATCCTGTATATAATTACTGTTGCTTATTAACAAAACAATTATACTTTTAGAGTCACACATTTACATTTTACCTAAATCAGGGGCAATAACTCACATGATGAGTATACTATTACAATTTTTTTTTAAAAAAGATTCATGGCATCACACAAGTATGAAAATGCTGTTTTGTTTAATCAGGGGCCATAACTATGCCACTCTTAAATGAATTTGCATCAAAATACACAGCTACTTCAGTTCATATGCTGATAATTATTATTCTACTGATGTAGTTTTACTTTTAGACATATATGTAGCACAAGTTCAAAATTTACCTTTCACTCTCACGATGGCGTTCCATCATTTTCTTAATTGTATTTGGAGTTCTGTCTTTACGAGCATAGTGTCTTATACTGGAGTTACTATCAGTGTCACACTGTGATAATATCTGTTTCTCTGGTGTCATCAACAGAATATTGTTCTCTGTTATACTCGTATTTGGATACTGACGTCGTTTTGCTATTTTTGTATGTCCCTGAAATCAAAATATTAGCAGCATATTTACCAATGAACTGTTGGCAGCTATAGATTCTACCAAATACAACCAGTGCAGACCAAGCTCAGCTGAAAATTCTGTGCAGTCTTATCATGGTCTCTATCTGCACTGTTCTCTATTCTATCAGTACATATTATGCATTTCCCCAAAAGAAATGATTTTGTTCAGATTGAAAGATAGACAAGTTGATTTAAGATATTAAGCAGGAAAAGGTTAAAGATCTATGACACCAGTTCAGAGACCTGCAAGACAGAACAGAGACAGACTCTCATGTTGTAAGCTGATCAACTTTAGCATTCTTATCAAAATACACATAACATGCACTTTAACCCATTACCAGATATATACGCCTTTCTACGCCTTTTTGCCCCCCCCCCCCCTTTTTGCTTTCTCAAATGGTGAAAAAATGCCTTATTTAGGCCCCCAAACACTTGTTTTTGTTTGAGAAATGTTGTTTAAAAAATTGACCACTTTTTCGGCGCGGCCCCCCATCCAAAAGATACATCAGGGGGTTGTCAGAAGGGGGATGTGCCCCCTTCTGTTTGGGGGGTTTGAAGGGGGGCGGAGTTCCCCTCATCACCAAGAAAATTTTGGATTTGTGGGAGGCTAAAAATGGCCCCAGGTCCATTATAAGGTAACGTTTAACCAATGCTGAAAAGCCTTTGACTCTATCTCAATCCATTGAGAAGTGGCAGCACTTTGAAATCAATTTTGATGGAAAAAATCAACGCAAAATAGTGATTTTTGGCAATTTTGAGATGTCCCCTAGTTGCCATGGTAACAGGAAATTTCAGACTGATGTTGTTACAAAGGCAATGGTCCAGTCAACATGTGTGCCAAGTTTGATTAGTATTGAAGCAGTTTTTATAGTTTTATAGCAACTTGAACTTGTAACGGGAGACTTTTCAATGAAAACAGCCATTTTTCACAAAATGCTCATGGGGTAATGGGTTAAACTAAAAAAAAAACATGTCTTATAAATTATAATTGCAAAAATAAGTTAGAATGGTCATTTCCAAATTCAAGCCAGGATAGGGCTAGAAGAATCTGATTATGGCTACTTTGTTTGTTTTCATCTGGAGCATTTCTTTACTTAACTGTATGATAAAGTATTTTTTTTGAAAATTTCCACTTGTCCATTCAGGCTGAGAGAAAAAGGCAATTGTTGTTGGCACCCCTGCGGGAAAGTACATTACATATAATATGTTTAGATATTGTAAAAAAAATATATATGGTCAATTTAATAAGTCAGGAATCAAGAAAGACAACTCTGTTCAATTCATGTCCATATTGGAAGAATTCATCCAGCATTAGTATATTGTGTATTCACAGCACTTTCCAAGAAAAGTAATGTTCTTATTTGTTTATACTTTATTGATGGCAGCATTGTGTGAAAAGAGATATTTGCAACTAATGGTCTGGTGTACTTTTTCCAACACCATGAAATGTTACCATGTGTAACATTCATCATTTGGGCATGTTAAAAAAAAGAAGAAAAACAAAAAGAATTTAACATTAAGAGATCCTTGCATGGCTGTAATTGCTGACTCAGTATACTGACAGGCAGAAAAATTCATCAGTGAAAAATAAAAAGCTAATAATAGAACCTGTTGTTGCTTATTTTACTTATCATAAAATACTAAAATACTTTTGATTAATGAATCATCAATCATCAAAACTAAAACACTTAATAATTATATTGTTAAAGACAGTTATTTCTTACAGAAGATGTCATATACCATTATTTAACAGAAAAAGATTGCCCCTACATGTATCATCAGGTTAATTCATTCATTAAAGTAATTAAAAAACCAAACTTCACCAAAAAAATGCAAAACATCTTGTTTGGAATTACAAATTCAACAGATCAAAAAAGAAAATGTCTATAATTTGCATTGTAGCATGTTACATAAAGATATCTATTTCAAACCAATGGAATATTTATTCAATTAAAATTCACTCTTTTGTTTAATAAACTCTAAAAATTTTAAATCCACCCGAGTACATGTATATTACTTTAATTCATTCTCAAAATTACCTTAAAAACCAGAGATTTTGAAGAATATGGCCAGTGATACAGTGACTCTGTCTATTTAATGGTTAATGGTGAAAAAACAAATAGTGCCAATCTTTATTTCTTAAAAAGAATTATTCAGTGTTTACTAAGAGAGATCATGTTACCCTTGTCCCCCCTACCTGTCCCTTAAACTAGTGATTTATAGCCAAAGTTTAACAAAAACAAAATCTCTACTCAAACATCTTTAAACTTCTTTTTGAAGTAAAAGCATTCAATACATGTTACAGTCTTTTGAGTATTTTATAACAAACCATATATTAGTCACCGAGGAAAATAAGGGAACAGTATTGTGTGGGTCCATTCTTATTTAGTGAAGGATTTAGACAAAGTTTTATATAGCATTGGTCTATCTAAAAAAATTGTGACATTTTAATTATAAACGAAATCCGTATAATCCTTGTCAATTCAGTATCAAGTCTTGAATAATGCCTGTGTTTCTTTAAGGCAGACAAAGCATAAAATTGATTTTTAAGTTAAGCTGTTTACATTTCTTTACGATGTTTTATTTGAATGTAACACTTTAGCGCAGTGAATGGTAATAAATATTAAATAGAAGTTACGTGTCCTAAGATGTGCACATATACAAGGCAATAGTTTTAAACAACTGAAAACTCAACTTAGTTTAAAGTAAATAAGGATTGTTTGATTTAAAAGTTTCCTGGTAAACAGATTGTTTGATCACAAAGATGTTTTACAAATAAAAGTGCAGTGTTTTCCGACTATAAAATAAATAGCATTCATTTAATAGTTATACTATGAAGGTAATCTCCTAGTGTTATATGAATTACAATTATTCAATAATAAAAGTGCACAAACAGAAAACAAATTAAAAATTAAACATTGTGATATCAATGGATAAAATTGATTTTGTTTTTTTGGAATTAAGTCACTGTAACACAGTTTAAATTCAGATAAGTACATATAAAATACACTAATATGTCAATGCAAAGGAGATATCATCTATATGTCAGTTCATTATTATTAATTTGTCATCCAATTAAGGTCGTAGCAATATAAAAACACAATCTAATTATCTAATTAACATTGGTGAGCTGTGTTGTTTTACATTTTAATACTATAGAGAGACTAGCTATAAATGATTTATCACATGTCAATGTATTACAACATGAACACTACAGACTAATTCATTTTCTATCAAATTTTGCTGCAGGCAAGAGTTCTACAGGAAATTTCAAATTTTACATTTAATTAACATTATGACAGTTGATTCTGTAGATGACTCTCTTACATATGTTAGATGATGACATTGTGCCATTTTTTCTCTCTTTCTATGTTATTTCTAAAATGTTAGGCTACTAACAAGTGGAATTTATCAAAATGTTATGAGCATCGGCTGAGGGCAACTATTTACTTGGAAGGGTTATTTTTTTGGTCTGAAATACTCTATGAAAGTGGGATTGGATATTTCGTGCTATATATTGACAATTTATTCACCACATTGGAATTACTGCACGGAAAACTGAATATTACAGTTCTGGTGTATAGTGGATTGAGTATAGTGTAATAGGGGGAATGTTATAGATTTTTTGTGGTATAAATGTTTGACTGTGACATACATCAGACTATATAGGAAGTATATTGTATATATATGTACATGAGACCAGAGATGTCTTATACGGAGGAGGAAAATATACTAGGTAGGTGACTCACAATTGTCCACTCTTATTTCCTTAATTGCCTGGAGCTATTTTAACATGTTGGTTTAAACAATTGGATAGAAATTACATTATTTTGTGTAAATATTCAAAGAGAACATGCATAACTTAAGTAAATAAAGTATTTTAAATTTAAAGATTGGAAATTTCTTAATGATTATTCAATGAAAGATGAAACCTCTATGGGTGGTCTCTGTACATAAAGTACTTAAACTTCCTTAAGTGGTCATCTCAAGAAGGCTTAACTGGATTCATCAAAATTAATTTCAGTTTGATAATACTGATTTTAAAATTATCAAAATATTGAATTTAAAAACATGTAGTCTTAAGACAGGATGTGTACTATTTTAAATGAAACAGAAATTGTAAAATATAATATTTTCAACAACAAAAAATATCAAATAAATGCAGCTTTTGTTCTGAATATTGCTAAATTTGTAAACAGAAAGCTTAGATTACATGTATATTTAAATGGGGAAAAATGCAAATATACATTCACTAAAATAATGCATGGATTTTTTAAAATTGATACAGTGTAATTTAATAATTTTAATGATGTGCATTTTATTTTTAGCATTTATATTTTTTTTCTATTGAAATAGTCAGTATTGTATCTTATACCCGTTTGGACAAGTTGTTTATTTTTGGTTTATAATCTTTGATCTTTTCATCATCCATAAATGAAAGCTCATCTTCATCATGATCAAAGAGTGTTGCGGCATCAACAGATTGCCCATATATATCAGCGCATGCCTCATTGCTACCATCTAGGTCAACATAGTTAGTGAAGGGCAGATCTTCTACACCACTATCCTCATCGTCTATACCCTCAAAGAACCGGTACATACCAGGGGATGGCTCAAAATATACCTGTTGGTCGTCCATGTCATAAATCTGTAAAATAGTAGAAGGTAAAAGATATCAAAATAAAGAAGAAAAAATTATTATTAACAATCACCAACTTAAGTCATACTTTTGTTAACATTGCTATGTAACTAGGTTCGTTAAAGGTTGATCACCAACACCAAGGCAAAATTAAAATAATGTTAATTGGTCTATGCAATTGAATGTGTTTATGATTAACAGTGCCGAGTGGTATAAAGTGAACACATTTCACAGCAAACAGAAACTATATTGCTTTAAAGATAAATATGACTGCCAATTGCATTCCTTAATTCAGGTAACATTTGTAAATTCAGATGACCTGTCCACTAATTAAGGTATTTCTGGCTTTTCCCTAGGAATTTCAGACTGGGGGCTAATGGACATCTTTGAAATCTTGGGAGTCCACTGTTAGGGGAGCCCATATTGAAACTGATTTTTTCAGCAAATGAAATCAGTAAAATTGGTCATCAAATAATTGTTAGTACCCTCTCAGTAATGAGAATTAGGCTTCTATTACAAATATCTGGAAAAAGGTGATCCCTCGGAAGCATTAAACAGCAAAATTACATGATAATTGCAGACTTGGTTCAATTGAGTCTGTGCATGTGGAATAATTATAAATTGCAACATCCCT